AATGAATTTGTGGGTTAATTAATATAAACAATTATAAGTTGATCCCTTGTCATTTGAGATGTAACTTGAAGCTTAATAAAGTGTTGGGAATAAGTACGTCAAATTATTTTTTTTAACAAACAGTGATTTTCTGCAAATCTGTGGCAGTTCCGAAAGCTTCCGGGCGAGCGGATTCACAGCAGCTTTGGCGCCTCCGCTCTTTTGCTATGACTCGTCAGGATTATAGCGCGTTCTCATTGGTTTGCTGGCATGCGGCTGATTTAATGCGCAAGGTAAAGCTGTCCGTGAAGCGCAAGTGGAAAAACGTGCTGTTGCTGGCAGATCTCGATTCCCGAAAATCGCACTGAGTTTGATGCAAAACCACCTCGACTAAATCAAATGAAAAAACACCCTAACTGTATATTGTCATGCTTTCTCAAGCAAAAAAATTTGAAAGTGCACTGAAAACGAATCTTCTTACATTTTTTGTCATATACAATGTAAGTTGAAGATATAGGTTATTTAAAATAGCAACATGTCTGAGTAAACAAATAAAGAGATAAAATATATATAAAAAAGTTTATAAAATGTATAAAAAATTTAAATAACAAACATAAGGAAATCAAAGGAAAGGGGGATTTTTCTGAATATTTTATTGTTCCCTTTGTTTTCCTTCTGCTTGTGTCACTTCTCTGAGTCCTTCTCTGATTTTATTGTTGTTTGCAATGTTGCAACTTTTTACTTGGCAATATTTTAAAAATATGAAAAATATTTTTGGTATTTTGCATGGTCTGTTGTTGCATCACCTGGGTGAGAGATTTTACTCCTATTTACTGGCAACAAAAAATCATTCAGCAGATGCAGAGAATCCCCATCTCCCCACCCCCTGAATACTGCGTATCATTACGTAACAACGTGTAAACGTTATTTGGTGGTTTTTACTTGTTTTTCTAGCATTCAAATAACAATGGATAAACATAAAATGATAGAAGAAGGATTGGAGATGAATTTCATGTACAAATAAGGTAGGAAATGTGCATACTTTTAAATCAACACCTGCCACGGTGCTTCTTATTTGTCATCTGTGATCCCTCTTTGAGTGTGTCCTAAAAGCTGATGATGAGGAGAGGGGATCTTAATCTTAGCACTCAGCATACCTGGTTAAAAAGTCACCGCTCGCCACTGCATTATGATAAAATATTTTGCATTTTCTCAGCAATACATATGTATATATAGACTTAAAAAAATTAATGAGCAAAAAAAAAAAAAAAAAAAAACTTTTTGTGTGTACGTTTTGCTAAGTGAATGTGCTGAGATCACAGCACCATCCAAAGTAATTAATTCTTGAGGCGATGAGGTATGTGAATGTGTGTGTGTACAGGTTTGCCTATACTGGTGAGGGCCAATTTGTTAAAAAAATGTTTACAGTAAAATACAACAAAATTTGACTTGTGAGGACATTTTGCCTTTTTTGTGTGAGTGTTAGGTTTAGAGTTGGGATTTAACATATATCAACACCTGAAAGCCATTGTGTCAATCTTCTCACCAGGAGAGTGAAACCAACATGTGTGCTTATGTCTGCTTATATACCCGAGTGCACTTACTTTTTATAAACTAGAGAAGTGAAACATAAAGGAAGTCTGACTGCCGTCTCGTTGTACTGTTTATTTCTATCAGAAAATTTCAAAATGAGTAAACACAATGGATACAAATAAGAAAGAAGCAGATGTGAAAGGTTGTCAGATGTCAACAGAATAGTAAATGACAGTCTTATCACATACAACTCCTGCCTGTCATCATAGCTTTGGAAATAAATGTTCACACATCTTTTTATCAGTAGTGATCTTTCTGATGATATAAAAAAGTAATGCTCAAAGAGACAGGGAGTGACCTGCAAGATCTTAAATGCTATAGTTTCAAATCGGTATTCATAGATAAAATGAAACATTTCATATTAAACACTAAGGTCGTGTGTCCACCAAAGTGTTTTTAGCCTAGCTGAAAATTCCAGGCGCTCTGCTGAAAACGCCTAGCTGTGAGCGTTTGAGAGCGTTTCTGCGGCGCAGTGTTTTTTTCAGTTGAGACGCTTTGGTTGCTATAATACTGAATATCGTCAGAAGTAATATTGCAAGCATTATTTGAATATTCGTAGTAGTCCGGGAATCCCATCTGGTACAGACATGAATGCTCCGAGACAAGCTATATTAACTACTCCGTTGTTGTTGAGTTGTAGTACAAGGAGGATGTAACAGTTGGTCAGAGTGGTATTTGCCCCGCCCCTGCTCCACTGTGATTGGACGGCTGACTAAAAAGTGACAGTGATGAGCGCAGTGTTTTACCCAAAGAGAAAAAACGCCTGAGCGCTCAACACGTTTTAAAGGGGTCATATGACGTTGCTAAAAAAGAACATTATTTTGTGTATTTGGTGTAATGAAATGTGTTTATGTGGTTTCAGGTTAAAAAAACACATTATTTTTTGTCCTCTATGCCCCGCCTTTTCTGAAACGCGTCGATTTTTACAAAGCTCATATATGACCCCTTTAAAAAATGCAGACAGTAGTGCTACACACACATGTAGCATGAGCAATTTAATTTTAAAACTATTGCAATTATTGAAACAAATATTGTAAAGGATCACCTCTAATTTATTTTGTATCCAGTATGGTATTGCCATTTATCACTTTGGCACGAAAGAGGAAATTCAAAAAAAGGATATAACAAATTTAGATTGTAAATACAATCCTCTAAGAAGAAGTCACCAACCATGTTACTAGTGCTGGGCGGTATACCGGTTCATACCGAATACCGGTTTTTATTTTTGTTATGATATGAATTTTGAAAATACCGCAATACCGGTACCATATTCATGTTTGTAACTGTTTGAAAAGACATTCAGTCAACAAAATTTGTCTTTGAAAACTATTAAGCCCCGCAGGACAGTTCCTTTCACATAAAACAAATGCATGTCAATACCTTGCCCCAAATGTCTTCTCATTAGCTCTCATGGCAGGAGTCTAATGCATTTAGTAGGTTCGGCCATTTCTAGTAACTTTGCTTTGCTCTTAATGAAGAGCCCATAAGAACATTAGAGAGAAACCCAGGTGTTTCTGGAGCGAAACCCTGGGCTTTGTGGCGTCTGTCATCATTTCTTACAATGAGAAAATGGAGAGCCACATTTTGATTGTCTATCTTTAGGAAGGGCCTAATAATGAAACTCTTGAGCTATGAGATGTGACACATTTGCCCCCTGACTGTGTCATCTGATGGAGGGAAGACAGAAAAAGAGAGAGAAAGAGCAAGGGAGAGAAGAGGAGAGTGTTCTAAGGGGGTTTAAGGGGAGTGAGGCTGAGAGGCTGCTGTCATGCTCTAGTTGGCCTGTTGAAAGATGGTTGAGACATGTTTAAGAGGGTGGATGAGGGGGGTTTGTGCTGGGATTCTTCTTCACTGAGCAGTAGCTCTGAGCCTGGACACACAGAAGTGGTAACAGGGCTGACTCACATGCAGGAGACCGCTTATTCACCCAGAGAGGAATATTAACAATATCACAGCTTCATCTCAATGCTGCCAGACCTGTTGCGAATGCTCAGAAGCATGCAGAATGAACATGTATGAAAACTGTAAAAATAATTAATCAGATGCATACTTATACAGATATGCACACATATGTGAGACACACGTGCATCCATCCTACTAGAGTGCTGAAGCTGAATGTACTGTAGACTAAGGCTGCGGCATTACAATTATATATTGCAAACGTCCACAGGCTTTAAGTCTCTTTTAGCACTCTCAGTATTTACAATGTTCAACAGTGTATGTAATGTTCAAAGTTTGGGGTCAGTAAGACTTATTTATTTTTTGCTGATTAAAAGGAATGATTACTTTTATTCTGCATGGATGCATTTAATTGATCAAAATGGACAGTCAAGACAATGTAATGTAACAAAAGATTTCTATTTCAAACAAATGTTGTTCTTTGGTACTTTTTTCAGGGATCTTTAATGAAAAGAAAGTTCAAAAGTTTCCACAAAAATATATATCGGCACAACAGTTTTCAAAATTGATTATATCAAGAAATATGTTTCATGAGCACCCAATCAGAATATTAGACTGATTTCTGAAGGACACTGAAGACTGAATTAATGGCTGCTGAATATGTTTTTACTATATTTTGATTAAATATAGGCAGCCTTGGCAAGAGCAAGAGAAGGCTTCTTTTGAAAATATTTTAAAAAATCATACCGACCCTAAACTTTTGAACGGAAGTGTCCTTTTTTTCTTTCATTTCTGTGACAGCAATGAGAACTTATTATTTTTAATAAAAAAAAAACACCTGGGATATAATGCCTGAACTTGAAAATTTCACCCTATTATTTTTCTCATGATATAACATCAATAGTTTAGACCAAAGGATTTCTTTACTGAACTTATAGAGACCCCCTCATCCAGACTCTCAGCCAACCTAGGTACCAAACCCCCCCCCAAAAAAAACCCCATTATAATTAATAATAAAAAAATTCTTAGTAACAATTTTTGTTACGTTAGCAAATAATATTGTTATATAATGCTTATAAAGCAGATAATGTTCCACATTTAGAAATTGGACGTACTGTATATAAAATATTTGTAGGTCTTGTAGAAAAAAAAAAGATATATTTATATATCTATCCACAGACCCCCTGCAGGACCTCCATGGACCTACAGGGCTTAAAAACCCTAGCTTTTGATCCCTAAATTGATATTTTATATCTCTGAGGCACTGCTGTGGACATCAGAGAAGTGAGCCACATGAGACAGACTGAAACTTCTCCAGCAGATTCACTCACTCACATTGACACGTTGAGGGTTTCTCTTCTGTTCAGCCCAGTTTCTATCACAATCCAATTATTATATTGTGATGTAAAGCAATATATTGAATCGTTAAATGTGTATTGCAGCGCAACAGTTAGCCATAAAGTACACAATTGTTTACCACAGTTAAAAAGTACATATGCAGACCCACACATGCAACAGAGACAGCTTACCAGACTGCGTGTCCTATAAAAAGCTAAGCTGGGACATGCAAGGACGATTCCCTCCCCCTGTAACATAAGAAAAAATATTCACGTCACTGACACAAAGTAAATATTCTCCTCTTTTTTTTTTAGAGTCAGCAGGAAAGAGCTCTCAGACAGGGGTAATTTGTCTTCTCCTCAAGGGTATTCATGAAAAGGATTGGAAGGCGCGTGCAAGTGTCAACAGTAAAACTTTTGCACTGAAGTATTTTATGTGAGAGAGATGCCATTCTGAGCGGCAGAAGCATCTGTTGTTCCTATCACTGAAGCTGATGTGGATGGCTCAGACCAGCGACACCTACTCTCCCCTGCTGCCGTGGCAACAGAGCTCAGGATGAATGGCAGCATCAGTTGTAATAGAAAAACAAGACTCAAGCCCAAGAATGACGTACACACACACACACACACATTTATAAACCCTATGAAAGTCAGTTTCTGCCTCAGGCTACAATATAAAATGAATTAACTGTGAGAATAAAACATTTAAATGGACGCAAATTAAAGTCGCAATTTCAATAAATAAATAGCAATTGTATAAGTTGCAATTTGAAGTTACAGGAATTAAAATTGCAATCACCAGAATTTAAATTGCTATTGTAAAATTTTAAATTGCAAACGTGAGATAAGTCACATTAGGATTAGGATTATCCAAATAATCCTGACTGAAAGGGGAGGGTGTAGATTCAATCAATAGGAAAAAAATAAACATGTAAACGCTCAAATACGACTATCTTCTCAATCAGATTCAGAAATACCTTGATTAATCGGCACCAATAGTTGATTGCTGGAACAATGGCTATTGGCAAATATCCATATCTATAGTTTTTCCGGGTTGTGTCCATTGCTGGAGCGGTTGAGAAGGGTCCGCTGTTATTATACAGTACGAGAGCTGCCTCTAGAGGCGGGATCACTGACGCCACGTGCTGTTTGTTTTGACACGTGAGACTGCGTGCTGCACAGAGCGGGACACCACAGATGCCGATTTAAAACAGAGACAATGAAACAGTACATATACAGTACACTACAGTACGTTTTCATATCTTACTTTGTTGATGCTGAATTAATAAAGAAAAAAGTAAGTTTGCCATCAAGGCTGAGAGGACGCTAACATTACCAGAAGCGGTTAAAACAATGTGACTAAAACACACGCAAGTCCGACCCAAATGTTTAATTTACCAATAGACTGTTACCATCTATTTGCAATTGTTTAAATTACATTAAGTTAAAATACTCTGTAGAATTATTGTTCATTGTTAGAGTGTGTTAATTTCAACATTTTCTAATACATTTTAAAATTTTAAAGTTGCATATGTTAACATTACTTAATGAACTAACATTAAAGATTAATGTATAATTAAAATATAATATTAGTATTTTTATATTACATTTAAAAAGTATGGTTCAGTGTCTAATATTCTGGTAGTAATATTTTCGTTTTCATTATCCATTTTAAAAACTATCGGTTGATTAATCAGTTATCGGTAAGTGTGGTCCAACCTAGCTATTGGTATTGGTAAAATCATATTTTCTGCATATCTCTGTGTGAATGAATAGCGCAGACGGACTGTTTTGTTTACTACAATCAATATATCAATATACTGTATGTACTCAATATATGAGTACATGAACACAAAAACAATCTTTAGAACTGCTTTGAGAGTCACTTCATGAGCATTTTACTGTTTCTTTTGAGAAAAACTATCATCATATACAAACAGAAACACAAAAGTCAAAATAAAAGTTTAACTTAAACGGTTTAACTTAAAGAAACTGTGACAGAAACATAGCCTATTACTGTATGTCAGGGCTATTCAATTAGTTTCATTTGAGGGCCGGATTATTGAATTTAAAATTTGAAGGGGGCCAAGGAGGAGGGGCCCCTTCCCGATCTCTTTCTGGGGGGCCTATAAAATTAGAAATTAAATTTAAATGCATATTCAGCAGTAAAATCAACTAATATTACCAACACCAAAATCTATAAAAACATTAGTATTGTCTGTAAGTTGATTAAAAAAAATAAAAAATTTATCACACATTTTTCTGTAATTAATCATGATTAATTGCATATTAATATATTGCCATAATTTTACATTGAACCACCAAATTAATGTAGAAACAACCTAAAGGTGATATATTTTAAATATGTTTAATGGCTTCTCTTTACAAAGTAGCCTATTATTCACAAAGGCCAGTATTTTTGATACCAATACTGCTACAGATGTCTCTATTAAATGCATTTTCACCTCAATTTTAGCCATTAATTATAGCCATTCAACATTACAGTATAGTTGAAAACATTATTTTTAACATTTAGTAGGCTCTGAAAAATATAACTTTAATTTAAGTGAACATATAACTTATATAAACTATAAATTGTATTTTATAGTTTTGGCATAATTGTGTGTTTTTGTCGGTTGAAGAGCTACTGGCACGTTGTCTGAAGCGGCTCAGCGTATGCGAACAGCCGAACGCGCAGCCTTTCAAACTGTACTCCATCTGATAATCATCTTCGTCCAGTGTCTGTGCTATTTCTCGCCAGAAGTTATGACAGATAACACTGTCTTTATACTCGTTTAAACTATAGTTGTGGATATCTCATAACCCTCACACAAGCGCTTGTGAACGCTGCCGTCTATTGATGTTGCGGTCTCCAGTAGGTTGTTGTTCTGTCTCTGTGAAAAAACGGCCTGGGCCAGTGTTGCCACCTTGTGGACAAACTAATTAGTGCAAAAACAATTCAAGGTGTATGTGCGACCTGCGCATACTCTTCCCTCGGGCCGGATGAAGATGATTGGCGGGCCGGATTGGGCCCGTGGGCTGCCAATTGAATAGCCCTGCTGTATGTAATGAATGATAGTAATAATAAATTCGTTTTTTTTTAATAAAATAAATTAATTAGAGATGTCTTTGATTATTATAATTGAATTAAATCATTAAAATGGAATCCAGAAAACTAATGGAAAACAGAATTTGGTAAAATAAATAAATAGAATAAAACGTATTTCATAGGGCCTTAAAATATTTTTTTTGTTAAACTTTTAATAAATTGCTGTTAAACTGTGTAAGTTTCATGATTTCAATTAGTTAGACATGCTTTTTGTATAATACAATTTAATTTAGCCATTAAAACAGAGTCTAGAAAAATTAAAGCTGAAAACAGAAAACAGACTTTTGAAAAAAATAAAATAAAACGGAATTTGGAAAAAAAATAAAATGGATTTCACAGGGCCCTAGGTTCATATAAAAATATAACTTTTAGAATGACAAATTGGACTGGATTCATTCGCACTGATGGAAATTAGTGCATGTAAACATACTGTACCTAATGTGAGATATAACGTTGGAATTAAGAGAAATAAGCTTGCAATATAAAGTTGAAACTGTGAGATAAAAAGTCGCAATTACATGAAATCAGAACACGGTTACCATTTTATTTATTTTTTATTTTACTCTGAGGCAGAAACAGGCTTTCATAAAACAGTCAGGCTGACCTGGCTGCATTTTTTAGTTTTAACATAGAGCTCTGTATTTCCAAAAAGTGTATGTTGGGTACAAATAACACCCACTTTGTGAATTGACAACTGTGCAAGGGACTTTAACAAGGCAACACTTAGGGAAGATAGGAATATGCATAATTTAGATACAATTTTGGATCAAAATAACAATCCTGGAAGCAAAGCCATTTCTCACAGAAGGGAGGTATAGGAATTCATATTTCATAGCCCAGCACTCTTAAGTACAGAAGACGGGAGAGTCGATCACAAATCCTGTGCTCAGAGTATTAGAGCACACACAAGGCAACGGTAGTTATGTTTTATTAAATGCTCTCTTCCAGAGCTACCGCACCTATGAGATGCTTGTGCTTAATATTTTAAAACCAGACATTGGAATTGTGACCGAGGAAGGGGAGATGTGTGGATCCTGTCTCCGCAAAGTCCAATCGGAATGATTTATGAGCGGTTTGGACATTGGCATCCCAGTCAGCTGCAGCGAGGGTTTCCGCTACAGTGTATGTTCTTATAGTTTGGGTTGGCGACAAATTCTTTGCACAGGAAAAGTGGCAAATTTCATCAGATCCTAAAAGCCTGTTCACACCATGTCTGATGCAATAAAATAACACAAATTTTTCATGATTCACACCAAGTGCAATGCCGGGTTTTACTCTATCCTCTTCCTTTCTGGGTTTTTCCTCTTAAATAATGTGTTGGGTTTGAAAGTGAAGGCCCTCTTCCAAGTCCACACTGGGTGACGTAATGCTGCAGGGACTGTCTGGTAGAAGTCGTCTACAAAGCCGCCGTCAGTGCAGGGCAAACGGGACACTGATGAGCAACCTTCTGAAACCTAAAATGGCACACACTTCGACTTTTTGGATTTTACAGACACTGTTGCTGCTGAGAATTAAAAGTGCAACTTAAAAATAAAATAAAAGAGATCAGTTATCAATATAGAAATTAAAATATAAAAATGTAAATAATACACGACTTGTCAAACTGACAAATAAATAAGTGTATATAAAACTGTATTTAATTCTTTATTTAAATTATTTTCTTTATTAAAACTGTACTGAAATTATTAAAAATGTGGATAAATTTGATCAATAAAATGAACTAAATATGAATGGTGAATTAGTAATTCAGTATTTCACTGTTACATTTAACTACATTTCAAACAATTAAACAGTTTAAATGCCTATTTATTTGTACATTTTTCACGTGGTTTAAAAAGATAATTGTTTTTGAAAAAAAAAATATCTTCATGTTTTTTTTCTAATGGTCAGTGTTTCTTTCTTTCTTTCTTTTTTAAGCTAGATAACAACAACCTACCTTCTGAACAAACTGTTGTTGAATCAATACATAATTTTAAGAAGGTTTAGAAAGATGAAAAAACATGAAAATACTGCATATGGCATAAATTGTGACTCTGTATTAGTGTTCTCATGTTACCAAAATTTCAGTAGTCGGTACCAATACCAGTAAAATTCTGGTATTTAATTAATTTTTATAGCTTTTTTTAATATTTGAAAATAT